GGCGGGCGCCGTGTCCGGCGCCAGCAGCGTCGCCCTCAGGCACCGAGGCTTTCACTGCCAAACAAGAACGAGATGCCGTCTTGGTCCGGCCGGAGCGCTGCTTCCTTGCTCCCCCTTTTCTGGGGACTATTCCTAATGCTTCCAAGGCTTCCAGGAGGAAGCACTGTGCAGCTGCCTGCTGCCCTGTGACGAGCTCAGGCTTGGGGCTAATTACAGGTGGCAAAAAGCTTCATAGCGGCCTCGGGTCAATGGGAAAAGAGGGGAGGCCTCAGCAGTGTGAATAAAGCACCTCAGGCAGCACCTGTGCTCTCTACCCTCAATGCCATTCCTGAGACCTTTCCTTGCTCCTGTTTTCCTGCAGAGGACACCCTGCCTACCAAGCTGCACAACCGCACTTTCCAAATCGAGCAGTGAGTGACACCCCTAATTATTTCTTAACTAATGGTTTCAGAATGTGTATTAAAGAATCATGCAGCAACACTGCTACCATTTAATGCAATTATATGAGCTTGGGCATATATTTGATAGTAATACTGTCATTATAGTATGCTCAGGCCAGCGAGGATTTGAGAGAGGCAGGGAAATACAGTCCTGAAAATAAAGCGATGGGAGTGTTGGGACCGTGTCCTCGCTCCTGGGTGCAGGAACTGGGGACAGCCCGTGGTGGAAGGGGACACAGGGCAGGTTTCACTTTCAGTGGCTTCTTCCTCCCTTTCCCTGTTTTTTCCTCTCCTCTTTGTTGTCATGGAAACATTCACTACAGCTGTTAAATCATCCTGCTAAAATATGGTGCCCCGTGGTGGAATGGTAATAGCTAATATTGATCCAGCTGCTGCTGCTGACTCAGGGGTACGGCTGAACGTGCAGTATCTCTTCGCTCTCCTCTTCATGCATAATGCATCAGTCTCCTTCACCTTGGGCTTTGTGCTAAGGTTGATATCTAGTCGCAGCAGAATTTCTTCATCTGCCTCCTTAGTGTTTAGCCCAGTTGCAGCGCTGGATGCAGCTGATGTTATGAAGCTGACCGAAAAAACTACCCTTCCCATGATTGACCTGTGGAATCGAAAGTTACGGATGTTTGTGTTTCTGAAAAGCACTGAGAAGACATTCAGCTGCAGCTGTCAGCACACTTGGATCTGCTGATCCCAGTGATCCCAAATCGCTTGGGAAACACATTGCATTCTGTCAAGGAAGTGGTGAAACTTAGATGTGGGACAAATAACTGCCTTCATAGCAAGTGAGGCTGCTTTTGAAAACTTGAGCATTGGTTTGTGTTGTCACTGGCAATTGCTCCAAGTAAGATGCTCTACAGCAGCAAATAATTTTAAGTAGAGCATAGCAAGCATATTCCTGTGTCACGACGAGATGGGAGCTCGCAGTACATTTTCATGGATTATGAATCCATGATACAGTGACAACAGGGTGGGCTGTTTGCAGTAGGACCTAAACCTGGGCTTCCACAGTCCCGTCTAAAGATACCTAAGAGCAGTCTGTTACCTCAGTGGCCTTAGCTGTTTGGGAAGAGAGTGGAGGCAAAGCAGGGGTCAGTCAGAACATGTAGTGCATTGGAAAGACCTGCTAACAGAAAGCAAACACTAAAAAAAAATCCCTGCATTGTGTGTTTGTGTTCATAAACATTTGCATTTATCTTATCTTTCTTTATCTTTGTAGAAAAAATTAGGCAAAGATATGCAGACCTACCGGGAGAGTTGCACATTATTGAGCTTGAGAAAGACAAAAATGGCCTTGGACTGAGTCTTGCGGGGAACAAGGACCGGTCTCGCCTGAGCATCTTTGTGGTTGGCATCAATCCAGATGGACCCGCAGGCCGAGATGGGAGGATGCACATTGGTGATGAGCTTTTAGAGGTAAGTGTTTCCTTCAGCTGCTAAATAAAGTTCACATGGAGAGAGTGAGAGGCAGAGGCACTGGCAAAGCTATCGTTTGTACCTGAGGTAAAGCCTGCAAATGAAATTACTTGGCTGAAGCAAGGAACTGCACTGATTTATGCCAATTGAGAACATGGCCTTTGGCAGGTAAATGTGTTTCCAGTGAAACAAAAATCACTGGCCTGTGGAAAACGAATGTCTTGTCAGTGAAGTCTGTGCTCTCAGCATGTTTTCCAGCTATGCTTAGGAAGAGACTGTTGAAAGGCAAGAAGGGAATATTAAATCTGTCCTCACAGGGCATATGTGGTTTCAAAGGGAAATTCACACCTTAAATTCCAAAAAAAACCCCAGAACCCCCTCAGTGTTCCCATGTGTGTTTTTTAGAAATGACAAGGTTATTCCCCATCCTGCAAATAAGGTAAAATTTCTTGCTGTAATTGGTTTTGATCTGTTGTAACTTAAAATCCTACCACACTATTTTCTTTAGTCATATTTGGCATGATTTCACCCGCAAGGCAAGAGAGCTCATCACCAAGTATTTTGTCTTCACTTTTTCTCCCTTCTCCTTGCTTCATCTTCAGCCTGAAAACACTGATTTCTTATACTTCCCCTGACATTTGGCCGTTGCAGAATGGCATTTTGCTGCAGTGCCTGCTGTGGTTCCCCAGATCACAACTGCTTCATAGCTTTGAAAAATCAGCCTTCCCCAAGGACTTTGCCTTTACAGAGAAGCTTTCCCTGAAGAGCAGGTTAATGCTGACCTGCTGCTCGCCCTGGGGAGTAAATTTCCATCTTTCAGCATCTCTGTGGCATCAGAGCACCAACTATTTTCTCAATTTTCTTGACTTGAAAAGGAGCGATTTGGCTACCTGGGGATACCCTGGGAGAAATCTGAATTGCCTAAACATTTTTCACTGTCTAACGGTTGCATAATTACAGGTTTTCAAGACATGTAGTACAAGAAAGGCTTGTTTTTTCGTAATAATCACAACATACAAAATTTATTATTCTCTTTGTGAGGGCGATAAATGACATGAAAGTCTTTAACCCTTAGTGAAGTTTGTTAGGCAAATAACTTTCTCCTCTTCCATAGTTCCAGATTCCAGTTGCAAAAAATAAATAAATAAACTGACAGATTTTAGGTGTGTGCTAGTGGAAGAGACCTGTGGTGCTGTTTACCTTGGCATATATCACAGACCAGGTAGTTGAGGGCAAACTTGATTGTTGACTGCAGTCTTGACAAGCTCTCCCAAAAGGGAAGACTTCACTGGGGTCATCTTGTACCTCGCAGGTTGTTCCTCCTGGTGGTGGTTTGATCTGCTGTTAAGTGTTGCTGTACTTGAACGATGCACTCTCTGTGATTAATTGCAAATATTTCAAGGCTTGGGATTTGCACATTGGAGCTATGCTAGCATTTTCAAAAGTGTTCTGGTCGCCCTCACTCGACTCCTTGTTGAGCTGGAGATAAAATGAGTGTTTTTTTCAGTGGAAGTGGTGCTCGCTGTTTCAAGAGTGCCACAGTACAAGAAAGGTGAAGGTCGAAGGGACTTCAGTAACCACCTCTCTCGTTTACCCTTGCAATCAGATTAAAGGAATGTCACTCATGGGCAGGAGTGTCATCGCTTGCATGAAGCGATGTGGGGATCTCAGCCTGGTCCCTGGTGAGAATGTATCAGGTGTCAAAACGTGCCCCTGGGTTACAAAGGAGGGCTTGTACATTAGTCATGGACAGACAGCTTGTGTTCACACCAGTGGTCAATTACTCAAAGCCTTGAGTTTTTCCCTCTTAAAAGCATTTCAGTGTTGCATGTAAACAGCACTGAAATGGAACTAACGGGCATTGACATTGGCAGGTTTTTTCAATAAATGTAACCATTAGGAGCTCTCCTACTTGTGAAGTAGACTGCTCACCAGGGGCAGGAAGGTAATTTCATGCTGTTTCCGTGGCAGTGATGCAGAGCTCAGGGAGGTTAACCAGCTATACTTGCACTGTCTTTTACAATAAAGAGGACTCTGCAAATGCAAGCCCTGCAAAGTCAGGAAATGCGAGAATTCAGATTATTTGGTTCACTCCAGTTAAAACCACAGAGCGTCAGTGCAGCCTTAAGGCACCGAGGTGTCCTTGCTTCATTCGGGGCTTAGAATGTACCATCTTCACTGGTTGATGGAGCAACTTCTCTTCTCTTCCTTGGGGTGGTGCTTCACTCTACAGATAGGCTGGTGCTGCTGGCCATTGCCCAGGAATCAGTTATTTTGCAGGAAAACCACGGCCATTCAAAATTCGTAAGCATTTGAACCCATTTTCACAGTATTTTATCTTCTCAGTAGTGAGCAGGCAGACCAACTCTTCATCGTATAATTGGGCGTTTTAGGTATATTTGCATCTTTGATTACACATGAGTTTTGATGCTTGAGAGTGGCAGCAAGAGAAAGGATTCATGTCCCAGGAAGCCTCCAGCATTTCTGCCTCTGTCCCTAGTTGCCCTAGTGAATCCTGCTGTTCATTAGTGTTGTTCCACCAAGACACAGGGCACTACTGCACCCACAGATAATTTCCATTGGCTGTCAATAGAGGAAGATCAGTGGGTGTCTTTGCATGTATTTTAACTCCTCCTTTTCCTTTGGGCGTGGGCCTGCCCCGGGCTGCAGGCAGCCTGGCCCAATATCACCCACTCAATATTGTTATCTCCCATAAGCTGGCTGTATTGCTGCTAATAAAGGGGGCCCTTCTCTGCTACAACCAGCTGCTGGTGTAGCATTTTCTGCCCTCTTCCTGTGCCTGGGCTCGCGTGGAGGGGACCTGCTCCCCCCTGGGTGCAGTTCTGCCCAGGGAAGCCTGGTGTCCCAGGCAGAAGTCACTGCAGATCCAGCTTCTGTCCCTTCTGCAGTGCTTTATTTATTTTTCCTCCAATAAATTTAATAAACAAGCTACTTAGCCAGTAGCATGGCGTCACTTCTCTTTTTGGATATGGGGGAGTTGATGAATAGGGATTTTTTTCTTTAATTTTCTATTTTGAGAGAATTACCTAGGTTTGGGCAAGCAGCACCATCCCAAAAGAGATAGTTATTTGCCCATAGAAAGAGAGAGGTGCTTTCACCTGAGGACAGAAGTCATCTTGGTTCATTACCTCAGAAGTGATTTCCATTTTTTTTCTTTTTTTTCAATTTCTATTTAAAGCATATGGTTATAGCCTCTGTTCTTTGAGATTCATTTCCTGAAGGTAGCAGTAGAGGTGTAGTGCCCTTTGGTCTTTTCATACAAGTCCACAGATGCTTTTTTCATGGATTTTTTAGAGGTTGTTAGGTCAGGTTTGTGTTAAGGTTAGTGTTAGATAGTGATTTTTCAAAATCACTATCAAAATTAGATAATCACAATCAAAATCAAAATTAGATAAAGCTGTGATCTGAAAAAATCTGTTGTCCATGAGGGCATGGGCAATCTGCAGTTTGCTATTTTGCCCTTTTTTTTTTCTTTCCATCCTCTCTGTAGGAAACAACAGGGATTAGCTGCTGCCTAGTCAATGAGGCAAAGCCAAATTGCAATGCAGGGCAGGGGATTTTCGGTCTTTATGGGATTTATGCTCTGTTGGTGCCTTCAGTTGCATGTGCTGGGCAAGAAATGGAGTGAAGAAGGAAGAATTCATATCCTAATTGATTATATTTTCTTTTTGCTGTTTCCCTCATGTTGATTAGCTGAGACTTTTTGTGCGTGGATTTTCAGTTCATATAATCAGACTTATGAAAAATTTTGTAACTTTTCCCATTGTTTCATAGAATCTAGTTAAATCTCAAAATGTTAGAATTCCTGTGGTTAGAGGGAACCTAATGCATTTTTTGCAAAGAAGTAATAATTACAGAAAGCTAATCTATCGTGTAAGGTCTTTTACTAGTTTGGAGGTATCATTTGATATGATTTTAAAAATCAGATGCTATTAATTTCATCAGTTTGTTACTCGCACCTAGTAAAGACAAAACTCCTCTTTTTAATATCCCTATCAAATGTTCCTCTTTTGCAAATTAAAGTTTGAGAAGCAAATAATCCTTTCATTCTTTTTCCTCTTTGTTTAAAAGTTCATATTTCAGTGCATTTTTGCTTTCCTGCTACCTTAATGTGTGAAGCTGTAAAACAGAAATTTTGTAGGTGTGGGCAACTGTAAATTTGATATGTGATAAAATGAGCCATAAAACACTGAAGTTGTATTAAGGATCTAGCATTAAAACTTGTGTTTGCTGACCTGGCCTCGCATCTGTGGCAGGTTTTTCCTTTCTCTCCACTGAGTTGAGGCTAACTTAGGTAAATTTTTCTTCTCTTTTAGAGAAAGTTTTTTGTTCTTTTTTTTCTTTTAAACTTTGATTATCTTTAATGGGAAAAATAAAGTGCAATTAGTAGGTTTGCAGTCTTGGACTCCTAAAATACTCCTTTGGTTAATCTGACTTATCCTTTCTTTAAATGGAGAGATTTATAATGGTGTTGCTTATGAAATCCTAGATGTTCTTTCTCCTTTTTTAAAGTAAGCTTTTGTGCTTCACTCATCTAAAGTCTGTACAACATCGATTTGTTTTGCAAAAGAAATTAACCTTTTTAAAAAAAGAAAAATTAATATTGTCTGGAATAACTTATGTTAGATGGTCCAAAACCTTGTGGAGATATATTACTTTGATTACCCTTTCATTTTTGTATAATTAAATAATTAGAACTTACAGGCCCAGCTCACAGCTAATTAAATTTTGGACTGTTTGATGCATCTACTGAATAGGATTAATTTAGCTGGTGCAAAGACTATAAATTCTAATCTGAAAAGTCTGTTACTTGGAAAAATTGATGGTAATTTAACTAACTCCAAACAGTTTGTGAAACATACAGTATTCCCAGAGAATAATTTATTTTTAAGCTGTGAGAAATTACCTCAGCAAAATCACTGAATATTAGGAGTCTACTTTGAACGCACGATGTAACTTTACGTGTATTTTGCTGTGTA